GAGTCGGGGGCTTTCGATGGTGGTGGGGGGGTGGGTGGGTGTAAAAGCCTCCTATCGTCGCATCCACCACTTTGATCCCTTTGTTTTGTTATAGGATGAGCCGGAGGATCAGCTTGCTAACTCAAAGGACTGCTCTTTCTCCAACCCTCCGCCCCAGCCGCACCCCCTACTTTTTCAGGCTGTCCCTCCCTCCCCCCTCCCTTCGCCGATACCTGCTTTCTTCGTCTTCTTTTCGCCCTGTCCTTGTCTCTGTTCAACGTGGAACAAAATCTACCACCCCCCAGCCATCCAACTCTAATTCCCCGGCGAAGAGATACCCCCGGCACGACATCGACCACCTCCGTCCACACTCTTTCCCTTCGTAATTGTGGACACAGCGTTAGCTCGAGAGCAAACGATCGTGGCCGTATAATTCCGTAGGTGGAATTGGAGCAGAAACGGCGGCGCGGGAACACGCCGCGCCGCGCGACCCCGGCATTGGGACCCGGGGAAAGATTTTCTGGAACCCCACACGCGGTGCCGCCACTTACACCCCTAACTTTATCCGCCGTACGTGCGTCCGATTCTTGATGCGCCGCTCCCTACCCGATATCGATGACAACGCCGTCGGATACCGCGATCGCTTTAAGATACCCGCGGATAAGTATGTACGTCGCGTGCTTCAGCATCGTGACCGCGGTACCTCCGTAGAAAGAATTGAAATTTCTAATTTACCGTGATAGCTGATACAGCCGGGAAATTTACAGTGGCTTCCTGTTATATTTTCCTATACATTTTCCTATATTTTTCCCATATAGAGCATATCCTGTAGCAGGGTGGTTTCTATATGTGTTATCAGGTTGTCAAGTTTATATCGTTTATAGCGGCTTCCTGTTATATTTCCCTATATTTTTCCCATATAGAGCTTATCCTGTAGCAGGGTGGTTTCTATATGTGTTATCAGGTTGTCAAGTTTATATCGTTTATAGCGGCTTCCTGTTATATTTCCCTATATTTTTCCCATATAGAGCTTATCCTGTAGCAGGGTGGTTTCTATATGTACTATCAGGTTGTCAAGGTTATATTGTTTATAGCGGCTTCCTGTTATATTTCCCTATACAATTTCCCATATTTTTCCCATATAGAGCTTATCCTGTAGCAGGGTGGTTTCTATATGTGTTATCAGGTTGTCAAGGTTATATTGTTTATAGCGGCTTCCTGTTATATTTCCCTATACATTTTCCCATATTTTTCCCATATAGAGCATATCCTGTAGCAGGGTGGTTTCTATATGTATTATCAGGTTGTCAAGGTTATATTGTTTATAGCGGCTTCCTGTTATATTTCCCTATACATTTTCCTATATTTTTCCCATATAGAGTCCTAATAGAACGCAGACTTGAAGGCAATTGGCGAATCTGCAAATCCTGTAGCAAGAATGAAATTTGTAGAAACGAAGGCAAAGTTCGTTGATAACTTAAAAATATAAGGAATCATTTTATCGCATCAAAGTATGCACCAATTTAAGCGCCAGAATGTTTAGACCGGTGGTATAAAACCCTGACGGACGTGGATCAATGAATTCCTGGAGGGCCAGTTTTACAGCATTGTCGGAATGAAATTGTTTTCCTATTAGAAAGTTGTCGAAATTGCGAAAGAAGTGGTAGTTAATGGGGGCTAGGTCGGACAAATATGGAGGACGATGAAAAAGTTCCAACTCCAATTCCTATAGTTTTGCCACAGTCATTTGTACAGTGTGTAATCTAGCGTTATCATGCAATAAGATAGGAGTCGATCTGTTGACCGATTTAAGCTCTCTCTTTTTTTTAAGTTTTTGCATCATTTCGTCCAGTTAGTTGCAGTATATTTCTGCTGTGATCGATGAGCCAGGTTTCGTGAAATCATAATGGATCACACCTGCGCTAGACAGGTATCACGTATCACAGATTCTCGCGAAATTCGAATCTCAGCAGAAATATTTCACCCGGGAAGATTCAATTGAAACACTCTGTACCTTTGTTTGAATTAATTAAATTAATTAAAATAGCATAATAATAATGATAATAATAATAACTGATGTACGAACGATCGCATGCTTCATTGTCGAGCGTTTCAGTAAATACAGGATGTCCCAAAAATGTCTCGCAATCCGAAAGTAGCGGGTTCCTCGAGTCATTCGAAGCAACTTTTTCCTTTACAAAAATGTTCTCCGAGGCACCGTTAACGAGTTATCAACGAAAAACAGTGACCAATGAGAGGCGAGCTCGGCTGGCGCGAGGCGACCGAGCCAATGAGCGGAACTGGGCTTCGCGCACTGGTCGGCTGGGCCGCCTCGCGTCAGCCGTACTCGATTCTTATTGGTCACTGTTTTTCGTTGATAACTCGTTAACGGTGCCTCGGAGAACATTTTTGTAAAGGAAAAAGTTGCTTCGAATGATCCGAGGAACCCGCCATTTCCGGATTACGAGACATTTTTGATAAAACCCTGTATATCGAGCTTGCGCGGCGCGCGTTTAATAAAGTCAACCGTATTCATCGGAATCAATAACACACAGATGACCCAGACATGGAAACGGAAGCGGAAGCCTTGAACGGCGAGGCTAACGAGTCCCGGAAGATGGAAGTGCAGATCGGTGGCGCTGTGACTTTGGAGTGCGACGGCGGTTGCTGGGGACATGGTCCTGGAATGGATCCAGTTGGTGGTCCCGGTCCGCTGGCTCTGAGTCGGGTCGTTTATCAAGAAGCCGGGGAGTATCGGTGCGTCGCACCTGATCGGAAAATGCAGGACACGTGGCGTGCACAGTTGCCCTATCAAATCAAGGTCACCGGTGAGTCGCATCCAAACGTATACTTGGTTTTCTTTTTATTCAGAAACAGCCATACCCTCGCGAACTGTTTCAGCGTTCAATCTACTTTGCGATCTCCAATCCGGTGTGAGATATCCATTAGCCACGGATAACGGATCCATTGGTTTTCATCTGCTCGCTCGATTCAATATTTATTACCATCGATTCGATGCATGTTTAATGTTTATTAAATTATTCGCGGTCGTGGTCAATTAATCGTCGAACCAATTAAACCTTGCTTCTGTGCCGAAAGCGTTTGCGGACGCGCAACACAGGTACACGTGTGTATGCATGTATGTATGTATATATTGTACTTCTGTTACATTTCGCGCATAAAGGAGGGTATCCGGAAGCTATATCGAATAATGAAGCGCAATAGAAAATTATGATGAAAATGGAATTGCGGATTTTATTGTGGATTTTACTCGGGGGCCACCGTAGGTCGGGTCGCCTGAAAATGCTAATCAGAATTCTACTTCGAGCGCCAAATACTCGAATGGTCTCACACGAACAGAACTTCGTTAATGAAAACGATTTAAATCGTTAGTAACCCCCCCCCCCTCTAGTGGAATCACGGGATGACTGGGCACCTCGAACTTTAGCCGAGGACATTTTCCGCAGCGGGAACGGTTCTTCTAGAATAAAGTAATAAGCCGAACCTATAGTTTACAGAACTATGTTTAATAATCAAACGGTCCGGTATTACATTTGTCCACCGTAAACCGAATTCGGTACGGTCGAACTACGTTTTATATGCGCTCCATTCGTATGAACTAACTTTTACTAGTACAGTAAATTTTTTCTAAATTGCCCTTCGGCTTCAACTCGAGCCTCGCGGCTCATTTTTATAGTTGTCGACCATCGGTAACTGTAAAAACAAGCCGCGAGATTTAGTTTACATGCTGGTGGACAATTGGGAGAATTTGCTGCAGCTGCTTATTTCGTTGAATGGCGACTGAGTGCACGAAAACGTAAATATTAATTTCAACTTTTCGTTAAATAATCTGTATGCTATGAGGATACGGAATAAATAAAATTTGCGTTTATAATAATAATATAAATCCGTTAAGTAAATTTTTTCTCATTGCCCTACAGCTTCTGAAAAAATTTCTGTTAATTGTTTTTGAATATCTCCAAAAATAACGTTTATACATTAATATTTTATTTCATTTACTTGATGCACCCAGTATATATCTTAAGCGCAAGTTTATAGAATATGTAAATTAGATTGGAATTTATTTTCTACACTAGGGGCTCTATCGTGCTTTTATATGTATTCTGTAACACAGAACTCGACGAATTTACGAAGTTTGAAATTTGTAAAAATTTCAAAATAGAAAGGAATCGCGAGTATTAATACTAGACACCGGTACCATAATTTTTCAGTTTCAACCATTTCCCTTTTCCAATTTCTGTAAAATGACTCCTAAAAGTTGTCTCGTTTTAGAAAACTATTCTTATTTATTCAATTATTCTATTTAATATCTATTTAATATCTATTCAATCTATTCAATAGATATTAATATTTATCCAATCTATTCAATAAATATTAATATCTATTAATATCTATTCAATCTGCTCAATAGATATTAATATAGATATAATATTAATATATAATATAATAGATATTAATATCGATATTAATATAGATATAATATTAATATATAATATAATAGATATTAATATCTATTAATATAGATATTAATAGATATTAATATCGATATTAATATAGATATAATATTAATATATAATATAATAGATATTAATATCGATATTAATATAGATATAATATTAATATATAATATAATAGATATTAATATCGATATTAATATAGATATAATATTAATATATAATATAATAGATATTAATATCGATATTAATATAGATATAATATTAATATATAATATAATAGATATTAATATCTATTAATATAGATATTAATAGATATTAATATCGATATTAATATAGATATAATATTAATATATAATATAATAGATATTAATATCGATATTAATATAGATATAATATTAATATCTATTATAATAGATATTAATATCGATATTAATATAGATATAATATTAATATATAATATAATAGATATTAATATCGATATTAATATAGATATAATATTAATATCTATTATAATAGATATTAATATCGATATTAATATAGATATAATATTAATATATAATATAATAGATATTAATATCGATATTAATATAGATATAATATTAATATCTATTATAATAGATATTAATATCGATATTAATATAGATATAATATTAATATATAATATAATAGATATTAATATCGATATTAATATAGATATAATATTAATATATATTATAATAGATATTAATATCGATATTAATATAGATATAATATTAATATATAATATAATAGATATTAATATCTATTAATATAGATATTAATATCGATATTAATATAGATATAATATTAATATATAATATAATAGATATTAATATCTATTAATATCTATTCAATATTCTATTTATTTTTTCAATTTCACGAACTATAAGGTACCATAAACGTGCTAACTTGTTATCTTCTAACGACATGACGTCGCTGTTTACGATCCCATGGAATCTGCGTTGATCATTGCAGTTAAGCGCCTTATTCCCGAATCCCCAGAAAAATAGGTGACCGAATTTTCTCCGCGGCAATGCTTCTTCGCTATCACGCTGATAAGCCGGCGAATGGTTATTTGATAATTAAAGCAGTCCTGTAATAGGAAATTTCCACGGATATTCGCGGACGTCTTTCATTCATAGTATTATTCTGGTCTCCCGCAAGTATGCGCTCTCGAATTATCCATTGAAACGCAATCTCCTCGATAATTACTTTTGGTATGTGCTAGCAATAGACAAACCTGAAATTACCTTTAAAACATCTAAACGTACGTATAAATATTTTAATCGTTCACGTTAATCGATTTATTCAGTATCGAAAGGATTAGAGGAACTGCAGCCGTTCTAATCAATATGAAAGCAATCGTTGCACAACAGTTATTATTTTAGTTATAAAAAACAGTTGCAAATAAAAACTTTTAGTCAATCGTAACAGTTATCGTTAAGAGAAACACTGTTCTGGTTGCTTACGATTGTGTTATCTATGAGATTTGTTATCTATAAAATCCGCAGCCTAATTATATATATGATCGAAATAGAATTTCCAGCCTGAAGAACGATTATTGTCGGTAAACAAACAAAAACTATACTTACTATTTATAATCAGAAATTGAAATTTTATTAATGATATGTTTTGCTGAAGAATTTCTTCCACATTTTGCAATTAACAGCTTCAACTTGAACAACGAACACGATTTAATTACTGATTTCTTTTCACAAAAATTTGTCAAATGACTGTTGTTTGGGGTCCACGATCCAGGCAAATGTTCAAAAGTATAGATTTCGCAATTTTGATTCTGCTGATGCTTCCGCGACAATTCGACCGAATCAATCAGAATCAATTAACTGTAACTCTAATACTTTCCCCCCCTACGTGTGTACGCGACAGCGGTGTTCGGAGCGTGTATTCGGTGTCTATAGCATGCTTTAATGGCGTTTCAGTTGGCTCCAAGTTATATTATCCCTAATTATAGTTGTTGCCAGGACCATTAAGAGGCGGTAATGATATGTAATACCAAGACAGTCCACCTGCAGCCGGGTCGAATTTGTCTGCACAGGGATTTACTCGCACAGTGCTGCATATAAATACATTAACAGGCTATATCACATCGAAAGCACTATGTGCCGAGCAAGCTTTACGGGACATCAATTCCCATTCCGCGTCATAAACTTGTTTTCCGCCACCCTTTACGTGCACCGCCCACGCCAGGGGAAACATTTCTACGTGTGCGCACCCAATACACCCAACCACGTGTCTTTCGTAGATCAAACGGAATCGTCCCGCAGCGACGAAAGACCCTTTTGTATCGTACGACTTTCTCCCTATCCCCGCCGATATCCCGGAACACTTGAAAAGTCGAAGGGTTCGCCTAAACTTATTGTACACCATGGAAAATATGGGGTTCCGTGTAGACGGTCTTCTTATGCGGATATCATGGAAGAGTTTTCAATGGCGTAGACCGTGATCGATACGGTTTGACAACGTCCAGACCAGGCGTGTCGATCTCGAAAGCTAACTTGGGCCATGATAACAAATAAACAATGCTTAACTTTAGGTGGGCCGCAAAAAAGAAATCAACGTTCGTAGAAACAAATATTTTTATTTCGACTAGTTCATTGTGATAAACATATTATATAAAGTTAAATTATTGTTTACGTCCTCTGATACTTGACATCTCTTCTCTGATACTATCTTTTCTATTTCGGGAGAAATTTTATTGGCCGAGACTATTTCTATTTGATTTTTATCATACTTTGCGTCGGATATATCGCCTGGGCAGCAAAAATGCTCATCTCGGGCCGCATGCGGCCCGCGGGTCGCGAGTTTGACACCTCTGGTCTACAGGGTGTCCGTTCTATATGGAAATCCAGAATATTATTATTCTGGATATTTATTATATCGATTTATTAATACTCAGAATCGGAATATTTCAGGAACAACGAGAGATACAGAAGAAATGTTTTAACACGTTCCGTGCCGAGCTTTTTTTACTCGAATCTTCACACTTTGATATTTTACTAAAACTTGATGTATTACGTGCAATATTATTAATTCTCGTACACGTAACAACGTAACAAAAACTTATCAACGCCCATTCTTGCGGTGAAAATTGATTCTTCGGTTCTAAATTTCTTGTAAACAATTTGTTCAGTTCACTAAGTAAACATGCAAGCGTGTACCATCGATGGTACACGTGGCACGGAACGTGTTAACAGAAAATGTTTAGTATAGAATGGGGCATAACGTGGTACGGACAGTTTTCTTCTTGGCGAAAATATGGTAGAAATTTTAAGGTCGCGTTCAATTTTTTTTAATAGGATGCTGTAATTCTG